GCCCCTCTTGGGTGCCAGTCGTGTGGCCTTTGGGGGGCCCTCCTGGGGTCCTCTTGGGCCCCCTCTGGTCCACTCTCGAGGCCCCGTTGGGCTTCCCTCAACGCCTTGGTGGGGCCTATCTGGGAAACCAGACAGAGCAAGGTGACCGAGAAACTTTCTCAGCCGCCCGTCGGGCCGCTAAGATTAACTGCGCGCAGCTGATCTCATAACTGGATATCGTTTAACCGACCAATCTCCCCACTGGCGTTGCCCTCGTCCCACTGAGCGGTTTACCCCCCCACACGGTGGGATGTATGCCGTCTCCCTCTGGTTTCAGGGGGTAAATCTTTACCTCGGCGGCGGGGGGAAGGGCAGGTTGGGGTCAGTTAGCCGATACTGAATAACCTCCGCAGCTTTCCCTACCCTCCCGCCACCACCCCCGACGTCGCGATTTTTTCCCAACGGCGGCCCTGGATGTGTGAACTTCTTCCCCGGGATCAGCTTTATCCGGCTTTATTCTCCTGAGTGGTTTGATCGCTCCAGAAGACTAATGAAGGATTGTGGAGCCTGAGAACGGCCGAAAACGTTCCGTCGTCGTCATCGCCCGTGGGGAGGGCCTCATGAATCCAAGTCCCAGAAGCCCTTCTCGGAACCTGAATGGTGGGAACGTCTTGGAGGCTGCCGTCGTCGTCGTCGTCGCCCATGTTAGGGGCCTGATGAATCATGCTTCCGGCAAGCCTTCTGGGGAAATGTTTTTTGGGAGTGTATTGGGGGCCTGCTTGGGCCGTTCCGTCGTTGTCGCCGCCTCTTGGGGAGGCCTTTTGACGGCGCAAGGAATGATGTCCCCGGAAAGTTTGTCGGCAACATGAATGTTGGAAAAGTCTTGGAGGGCTGTGTGGGGCGTTCCGTCTTCATCATAACCTCTTGGGAGCCATGTTGGGGGCCTGATGAATCATGTTCCTGGCAGGCCTTCTAGGAACATGTAATTTTTGGGCGTGCTGCAATCTTGGAGGGCTGCTGATGGCGCTGCCTCATTAGCGTCGGCCGTGCCTTGGGCCTGATGAATCATGTACCCAGAAGGACTTCTGGGAGCATGATATTTGGGAATGTCTTTGGGGGCTGCTTGGGCCAGTCCGTCGTCGTCGTCGCCTCTTGAGGAGCCATGTTGAGAGCCCGGCGAATCATGTTCCCGCAAGGACTGCTGGGAACATGAATTGTGGGAATGTCTTGGGGGGGGGGCCTGCTTGGGGCGTTCCGACGTCGTAGCCGATGTTGGGGCGTTCCGTCGTCGTCGCCGGCCACCGATTATCGCGTACCTTTAAAACAACTGGGCGGGAAACCTGTGAAAAACCGAAGAGGACGAGGAGGAGCAGGCAACGAAGGGAAGAAGAAGAGCAGGAAGGTGGTGCAGTCAGGGGATATTACAAGTGTCGTCATCCGATGGACCCCCTCCTGGTCCCTCCAGGGCCTCCCCCTGGCCGCTCAAATTATCTAGGGGCATTCGGCCCATCCTGCCTCTTGGAAGCAGTTTCGAAGCCTCTCGGGGCTGGTTTTGTCGGCCTCTTGGGGCCTCTTGGTGGCCTCTTGGGGCTTCTTGAGGGTCTCTTGGGGCCTCCTGGGAGTTGATTATTCGCCTGGAATCCCGGAATTTTCGGTTCGTTGTCCCCCCCTGAGCCCCTCTTGGGGCCGCCTTGGGGCTCTCTCGGGCCCTCTTGGGCGCCTCTTGGGCCGTTTTGGCGCCCCCTCGGGCCGTCTTAGGGGCCTCTTGGGAACCCTTTTTTGTTTACGGCAACGTCACAGCAGTAAAAAAGCACCGGCAAGAAGAGGAGACAGGAGAGGACGCGGGGAACGAATTTGAATACGTACTATACTCAATTTACGAGCGCACGCCGTTACGCGTGCATCGACCTCGCTGCGCAGAGCCCCCCGTTTCCGGCAAAATGCCCACCGTGGGGACGGGATGCGCCAGACCGAACAAAACACACAACTAAGCCGAGGAAGAGGGAGGAGGACGCGGAGGGGAGGGGGAGGAGGAGGGCGGGGAACCGAAACAGAGTCCGGTGGAAGGGTGGTATACAATAAAAGCCTGAAGCCCCTGAGTAGGCCGTGAATGGGGCCGTCTTGGGGCTACATTGGGGACTTATGGGTCGGAAGTACTGCTTCGGCAATACTGGAACTTCGCCGGGTACGTCGCAAACCTGCCCGCTGAGAGGTGGCTATCTCGTGTTCTTGCATGGTCACCTGCCAGAAACAGGTCCCAAGGGAGACCGCGGAAAACGTGGGAGTCCGATGTCTAGAGCTGCTGCGACAAGTACGGGATCGGTGACTGGAGAGTAGCAGCCAGAGACGCACGTTCTTGGAAGTGTATGACCGGAGATTTCCTTCACCACATGAGCGCCTGCTAGTTTTCACCCGCCTGTGCCCTAAGCGGCCGCCCCTTCGCGGGCATATAGGCTTGACCTTGACCTTGACCTTGGGGATTTATGGGGCCGTCGTCAACGCCGCGAAAGCCGGAAAATCGTGTGTGCTGAAAATGCAAGTTCTTCAGGAAAATCAATGACTTTGGGCTCTTGGGGCCCTGTGGGTAGGCCTCTTCTTGGGAGCCTTTTGGGGCGTCTTGGCGGCCTGTAGGCTGGGAGGCATTTTGGGCGTCGTGGGGCGATCTGTCGACGAGTGGCTGCCGTCGTGGACCACGCTGGGCACGTCTGGAGGGGATCTTGGCGCGTCTCGGAGCCGCCCAGGCCTCCTTCCGAACGGCTCCGGCGAGCCGTGGACCCCATGCCCCGTCGAAGCCCCGGCCCCGGAGGCCCCCGCCCTGTATTCCGGCACATATATATATATATATATATATGTGTATTATGTGTATACATGTGTATGTAAATATGGTAACCATGCACGCGCGCGCGCTACGCGCGCGCTCAGGTTCTAGCCGACTCCGCAGTCATTGACAGTAGGCATGCACGAATCCACACACACACACAAAAAAAAAAACGATTTACCGAAGGAGAAGTGCCCCGAGCGTAGGCCACCCTTAGCGCATGGTGCCAGGCCTTCTGACGGATAGCAACGGGTTTGTGGGGCAGTCACGGAGCCCGTCGACCCCTTTGGGGTCATCAAAGCGTGTGAGATTCTCGGCACCTAGAATCCCCCCAGGACAGGGGGGTATGGGGAAGGGGGGGGCAACATTGCAGCGGAAAGTGCTGAGCGATGTTTACCCGTTTGACGATAAGATCCCCTTCTGTCAAACGGGCAATCGGTCACACTTCCCTTCAGATTGGCTGGTTGACAGTGGGGGTCCCATTATAAAATGGGCAATCGAGTACCCCGATGACCCATTTGACAACGGGATTTCATTTGCCAATTGGGCGATCGGAGCTCAATTCGCCCGCCTCGGCCTAGCCCCCCCCGATTGCTACTTTGAGTGTGGTCCCCCACGGTCAAACGGGCAATCAGAGTTCAATTCCCGCGACTCGCCCCCCCCCCCCCCCCCGATTGACAGTGGGCCCCCGCTGACGCATGGGCAATCGAAGCTCAACTCCCGCGTCTTGGCCTGCCTCCCCGATGGCCCATGTGACAGTGCGCCCCCGCTGTCAAATCGATAATCGGACTTCCTTGGCCGCCCAGACCTGGCCCCCAAACAAGCTATTCGATAATTGGGCCCCACTACCAAGAGCGCTAGCCATCTCCTCCCCACCGCCTTGGCTGGGCCTGCACGTTTGCTAGTGGAGCCTCACTGTCAAATGGCCCCTTCCAAATGGCTGCCCATTTGGCAATTCGGCCCCCGGAGTCACATCCATGCTGCAAAGGCCCCATGGAAATCCACCGACGAGCCGCGCAAGAGCATCCTGATGACCCCTCACGAGCTTCGTGACGACAGGGGCCCCAGGGTGCACCGTACTAACAGACCATGGAACATCGAATTTGACAACTTACTTGTTCGACCTCCCAACGCTCGCACCATCCACGGCGTCTCCATGGCAGTTTCCACCGCTCCTTTGGGTGCGCGGCCATCCCATCACTGCCGCTCGTTTGGGAACACCCCTTGCCTCAAACATGCCGTGGCCCCGCGGGTGGCTGGCTGGTCTGATCGGCGTCAGCAACAAAAGTTCTTGTCCCTCGAAGCATAGTAACGCACTGGGGCATAAGAACTTGTCGCATCACGCGGCTAATCATACAGCTCCGTGGGAGTCGCGGAAGAGTCTTCTGGGAGCCCTTCTGGGGCAGCCTTGAGACCCTCTTGGGGCGTCTTGGAGCCTTCTCGGCCCGCCGTGGGCCCCTGCGAAAGCGCCCCTGAACCCTTTTTGGAGGCGTCTTTGGGCTGCCCTGGTCCGTCGTGGGGATCTTTGGGGACCATCATGGGTTCCTTTTGGGCGCCTCTTAGTCCCGCGCAGCCCTCTTGGATTCATCCAGAGCGGGAAGAAATAGCACAACGACTACAAATAAGACTGCCGCATGTTTTGACTGATGCTGGCAGCCTGGATATCCTCGTGGGACTCCCTGGTGCCATCTCGGAGGCATCCTGGGGCCCTCTCGGGCTGCCCTGAGGCCCTCTTAGGCAACGTTGGCGACGTCTTGGGTGTTATTAGTTCGGTTGGAGTTGGAGCAACATGCAGCAAGCAACGCCTGCGGTGCGAACGGCAATGGGCCCCCCTGCTGTATGCGGGTGTACCCCACTGTCGCCTCACACTTCTGCAAAACTACGGGCCTCGCAACATGGAGACATACCGTGCAGCAGGCGGAACAAGAGCTGCAAAGGTCAAACTGGCCACTCCTGGCGGTTGGCTTAGCCATCCGCCGCAGGGCGATTTTGTGCGTGGCAGTACTCGGGAGCACTGCCAGGGAGGCCAGACACCCCTCACAAGCCTTCCCTTGCTCGCGGAACTCAAGTCAGCGAGGTGTGCCGATCAGGATGCACCCAATGACAGCCTTCCCAGTAGGAGTCGTGAACGCACCCCCCGATGCGGCGAGGACTATAAAGTCAGGGCCTTAGGCCTACACTCCCTGGGTCGGCTGCCACGGACCGCCGTCACGGCACACTGGAGTCTGCTGGAGGCCCTCTCTACCTCCTTGGCCTTGATGCCCTCCGCCGCCCCTGGGGAAAGACGGCCGTCGACAGATACTGCCAGCATCAAGTTACCCCTGGCCGCCACGAGGAGGTTCCAGCAGAAAATGTCTGCAGTGCGAGCGGGAATCATGTCCCCTGCTAGTTGCGGGTGCATGCCGCTCTGCCCTCACAGCTCGTGCAGCAAAGTTACGCGCCAACTCGTTACACCAAATGGCGATGATGAGAAGGCAGCGGCGTATTGGTGCTGTTTTGGGGTGCCTCTTGGACCGTCAAGGGCCTTTGGGGGCCGTCTTGGGCCCTCTTAGGGGGCATTTGGTGGACCCCTGGGAGCCTCTTGGAAGCCTCTTAGGGCTGGGCTGGCGGGGTCGGCGTCTGTGTTGCCGCTCCAGTGAGCTCGCCTGGAGGCGTCTTGGACCCTTTCACGGGGCCTCTTGGGCCATGGAGGGGTCCTTTGGGGCAGTCTTGAGGTTCTCTTCGGGGTCACTGGGGCCGTTTGGGGGCCGCCTGTGGGCGTCTTGAGCCGTCGGGAGCTCAGAAAAGCGAGAACGCTAAAATCTTATAATCTTTCTCGGGCCATCTTCAGCGCCTCCTGGGGGCTCTTTGGAAGCTCTTCGGGACTCTTGAAGCTTTTTTGGTGCATCGAGGGTGCCTCTTCGGGCGTCTTGGGAGCCTCTTGTGGCCTCTTGGGGCTGCTTGGGGCGTCTTTAGATGGTATCTTGGCGTTCTCGTGGGGGTCATGCGTCAGCCCCTGAAGGGTACCGGAGGCAAACAAGCGGAATGGCAAAAGTTATCGATTGATGTCCTTGAGGTGTTTGGAAATTGGCGCTCTCGTCGGCGGTCTTGAGGACCACTGGGAGGTATCGTGGCGCCCTCTTGGGGGCTGGTGCGGGCTTCTTGGGCCGTCTGGAGGCTCTCGTGGGGAGCTCTCTTGCCTGTCGGAAGCGTCCCAAGGCATCTTGAAGCCCATTTGAGGCGTTCTTGGAAGCCCCGGAGGAAGTACCGGAGGTTTGACGCAGATGCCTGGGTGCGATTGGAGGCGGGACCGTCTTGGAGCGTCGAGAAGCTGGAAGCTGAACAGGCAGAAACGCTGAAATCCATCAAAAATCCAAAGGAAATCAATGATTTTTGCTTCTTGGGCTCTCTTGGGCCGTCTGGGGGCGGCCGCCCTGGCCCGTGTCGGCGCCCTCGTGGGAGCCTGTTTGGACGATTTTCGGGTGTCCCCAAGAGCCTTCCAAGAGGCCTCCGAAGAGAGCCCCAAGAGGCCAAAATCGTTGATTTTCATTAGTTTTTTCGATGTTTTTTGTGTTCTGGCTTTTTCGGCTTCCGGACGCTCCAAGACGGCCCAAGAGGCCCCCAAGACCGCTCCAAGACGGCCCACGAAGCTCCCAAGACGGCGCCGCTGGACCGTCTTGGAGCGTCGGGAAGCTGAACAGGAAGAAACGCTAAAATGTACCCAAACCCTTAGGAAAATCAATGATTTTGGCTTCTTGGAGCCCTTTTGGGAGTGCTCTTGGGGACCCCTTGGGCCGTGTTGGAAAGTTGTTGGGCCATCCGGAGGCCATCCTGGGCGTGTTAGAATTGTATTTTTTGGGATTGCTCTTGGAGACCCCGTGGGCCGTGTTGGAATCCTTGTGGGCCATCCAGGAGCCATCTTTGGCGTGTGAGAACGATATTTCCGCGAATGTAGGCCTCTCGGAGGCCTCTCGGGGCCGTTTTCATGTGTTTTATGACTGTCTTGGGCCGTCTGGGGGCGTCCCTAGCGGCCCGGTGCCATGGAGAGTTGAGGGCCCCCTCCTGGCCCTCCCCCGCCTCGTGCCCATGGGTATATACCATAGCACCCCGCCGATGCGGATAAGAGTGAGGGGGCGGTGGGGACGTCGGCAGTCTGCGAGACTCTGGAGAAGCCCGCCGCAGGCGCAAAAGTTTCACAAATTATACGACCAGCCCGCCGCAGGCGCCGATTTTACGTTAAACCATATGGGTAGGTCGCGAGTGGGTCGCGGGTGGGTCGCAAATGGGTCGCGGTTGGGTCGCGGGTGGGTCGCGGGTGGGTCGCTGTTGGGTCGCAGCTGGATCGCGGGTGGGTCGCGGGTGAGTCGCGGGATGGGTCGCGGGTGGGTCGCAAATGCCCCGCGGGTGTGTCACGGGTGCGTCGCGGATTGGTCGCCGGGTGGGTCGCGGGTTGGGTCGCGTGGTGGGTCGCGGGGTGGGTCGCGGGGTGGGTCGCGGGTTGGGTCGCGGGTTGGGTCGCGGATGGGTCCCGGGTGGGTCGCGGGGTGGGTCGCTGTTGGGTCGCGGGGGTGGGTCGCGTGGTGGGTAACGGGTGGGTCGCGGGTGGGACGACGACAACAAACAAATAACGCAACAAGCAGAATCCTCACCACGGATCCCCACCTCAGCCACGCAACCAGGGACAATGAATGACCGTTCGGCCCCCTCACTCTGATAATATGTGTATATATTTATGTATATATACACATATAACATATATGTTTATGCATGTGTAGACATCTATGTACATGTGTATATACACGGCCGTCGTTCGCGCTTCGCGTGCCTTCGAATTCTGAGATAGATAGTGAGGGAGAGAGAGAGAGAGAGAGAGAACAAACAAAAACAACTAGTTGGTCAATGGGCACAGAAGAGAGATGAAGGTGACAACAGAAATAGCAGGGGGAATTATCCAGCAGCGGCACGTTCGAGTCTTGTTGGCTTGCTGCGCTAGCGCGGCAAGCTTGCGACGGCCGAGAGACGCGACAGCTGCAACTCGAAAAGCGGCGCTCTGCATTGCGACGCCAATTCGCCCGCCCCGTCCGGGCCGGTGAAAAATCGACCCGATCGTCGAGCCGCCGGCGCTCCGCCTCCCCCACCACTAAACCCACCCAACACCCTGCCATCGGCTCTTGAGTCTGTTCGCCGTACGAGTCAAGTACTGCCACAAGCGACCCAGGGTCCAAGACTCGGGTTTCGCAATGGACAGCCGGCTGCGTCAGGGGCTTTGCCTTCATGCAACACTATTTGAGGCACGGCGCACTATCTGAAACAGGAGATCCACGCGCGTGGCCGCGAGCCTACGAGATGGAGCGGGACGGCGTCGACCTCGACATGGTGCCGACCTGCTCCGCATCGCAGAGGCGCCCCGCCGCGGGCGCCGCTCTTTGCTTGGTGGGTGTGAGCGGAATGCGCATCGTGACAAAACAGAAGTTGCATGCAAAATGAGTCGCGAAAGCAATGGTTGCCTTCAGCGTCCTAAATTGGTATTCGGCGCAGCGCGGAGGAGAGCTGCCGAGGGCCAGCCGGCGAGGGCCGAGAGGCCAGACAGCTGCAGCTCGAGGCGCGGCACACTGCATCGCGTCGCCAATTCGCTTGGGGAGGACGTGGCACAGATTACAGTCGCTGTCTCTCTCGACAGTGATGGCTGCAAGAGCGCCAGATCGATCGCCCTCTGCTTATATAAGTTTGCGGGGCGTCAGAAGAGAAAGAAGGCTGGAAGGCAAAAATGCGAGGGCATCAGAGTTTGCTGGCGATGGCCGAAATGCCAAACAACCACAACTCGAGGCGCGGCGCTCTGCATTGCGTTGCCAATTCGCCTGGGGTGGACGTGGCACTCAACGCCGGGGTCAGGCGTCCCGGAGAACCGGGCTGCTTTTTCGCCCAGACTCTATATCTAGATATCTCGGTATCGGGGGGCGCGGCTGGGCGTGGACTCGATCTTTGGATGTCTCGACATCCCGATCTTGGGGGGCGGGGCCGGGCCGGAACTCGATAGGACTCGATATCTCGATATCTCGAGCGGGGCCCGGCGGGGACATGCGTTCGGGGCCTCCTGATGTCACCATAATTAGTGATCATTTGGGTTTCGTTCGCGAGGGCCAGGCCTGGGACATTGGTATTGAGTCGGGTCTCTCCCGAAACGCCCCCAGCTGGAGGCAGGCCGTCGTTCCTTTGGACTTTAGCGCTCAGGACGCTGAAGGAGCTCGTCGAGGCGCAAGCGGCGCCTGACGAGCTTTGGAGGTTCATGGGCAATGCGTGGGCAGATTGGTTCGCCAAGCTCGGAGCTAATGATGTGGCTATTGCTGAAGTAGCGGTCAGTGCCCTTCAAAACGAGGTGCGGAATTGCAAAATCACGCTTGAGTTTTTGTCCCGACCAGTGCAGCTGATTAGCTCCCACCCCGAGGCCTAGGAGTGTGATCCACCACCTCCCAAGCCTGTAGTTCCCAGGTCTGATCCGGCAGCCCCCTTGTGGGGCCACCAGGCTGTAGGCCGGAGGTTCGCAGTTTCCTGTACCAGTTGCAGCTTCCAGTTTCCACTCTTACAATTCTGCTTCTTGCTGCTTAGTGTTCCTTGTTGACTTCTTGCTGCTTACTGTTCCTTGTTGATCGACCGCGCGAGGGGGGAGGCCCAAAACGGGCATTTTTACCACGCCCAAATCGCATTGTCTGAATTGCTGGAGTGGGTAAAAATTTACACCCCTCACGCAGATCGGCGGGGTCAGGGTCCAAAAAACACAGAAAAGGATTGGCCACATTTCTAAAAAAATCGGTGGCACACCTCACGCAGATCGGCGGGGTCAGGGTCCAAAAAACACAGAAAAGGATTTGCCACATTTCTAAAAAAAATCGGTGGCACACCTCACGCAGATCGGCGGGGTCAGGTTCCAAAAACACAGAAAGGTTTTGCCACATTTCTAAAACAATCGGCGGCACCCCTCATGCAGATCCGTAGGGTCAGGTTCCAAAAACACAAGGTATTTGACACATTTCTGAAATTCGGCGGCACCCCTCACGCAGATCGGCGGGGTCAGGGTCCAAAAACACATGGGATTTGCCACATTTCTGAAATTTGGAAGCACCCCTCACGCAGATCGGCTGGGTCAGCGTCCAAAAACACAAAGGATTTGCGAAATTCGGTGACACCCCTCACGCAGATTGGCGGGGTCAGGGTGCAAAAACACATGGGATTTGCAACTTTTCTGAAATTCGGTGACACCCCTCACGCAGATCGGCGGGGTCAGGGTCCAAAAACACACAAAGGTTAATTCGGCGGCACCCTCATGCAGATTGGCAGGGTCAGGGTCCAAAAACACAAGGGAGTTCCCACGTTTCTGAAATTCGGCGGCACCCCTCACGCAGATTGGCAGGGTCAGGGGCCAAAAACAATCGGATGTGTCACCTTTCTCAAATTCGGCGGCACAGATCCGTAGGGTCAGGGTGCAAAAACACAAAGGATTTGCCGCATTTCTGAAATTCGGCGGCACCCCTCACGCAGATCCGTAGGGTCAGGGTCGAAAAAAACAATCAGGTCCCAACACTGCTGCACCGCGAAGCCAAAGCCTCATGACTTCGCCCTTCCATGGCCCATTCTCCGAGAGAGGGGGCCCGCGGCAGGGGGCGAAGCCCTTACGGATAAACTTGGGTTGATCGCGCACGATCCAGTACCCCTGGCCCCGGGTTCGACGACCGCGGTGCAGTGCAGGCGCTGTTTGGCCATGGCGAAGACCCCTTCCAGTGTCAAGCCGCTCCTGAAGCCAGGGGCCAAGTGCGCTCCGCCTCCCATGCTCCAGGCCTTGGCCCAGGCTGTGGAGCAGATGGGGTGGCGGTCCCGCGTGGAAGGGGGGAACTGATACTGCCTTTCCCCCCCGCCAGGGGGGATGCTCGCAATATAGTTTTGAATCACACTCGGGGGCGTCGACGGGGGGAGGGCCTGGGCTCGGGGTGGAGTCTGCTGCATCTGCTTCTGCTGTGGGGGCGGAGATGGGCGGGCTTCTCTTCGACTGTAATGGCCATCGGGTCCATGGCACGGGGCCGTTACTTTTCTGCCTTCCCTGTGGGGCGCGGGTGGCTGCCGGCTCTCCCGACGTGGATGCCCCCGGGGAGGCCTGTCCTCTGGCCCCCCTCGAACCCGCGCCCGTCGACGAGCCAGGGACTGGCTTCCTGGCGGCAGGCACCCTTCTGCAGGCGCGGTGCTGACTGCCCAGTTCGTCGGATTCCTCGCAGGCGTTGGCGGTGTTGCCGCGCCAGCCTTTCGCTGATTCCCTACCTAAGCAATGCCTAGAAGGGTTCTTACCCTCTTGGCTTAAAGGGCCGGGCAATGCAACCCGCCCAGGGCGGTTCCCCCGGCATCCGCCCCGCGGTTTCCCCAGTTGCGCCCCCTGGGTTCACCCAGCTTAGCTTAGCTTAGCTTAGCTTAACTTAGCTTAGATTTGCCTAGCCTAGCCTAGCCTAGCCTAGCCTAGCCTAGCTAAGCTTAGCTTAGCTTAGCGTAGTTTAGCATATGCCACCTGAGCTTAGCTTAGCTTAGCTTCGCTTGGCTTAGCTTGGCTTAGCTTAGCTTAGCTTTAGCCTAGCCTAGCCTAGCTTAGCTTGGCTTAGCTTAGTTTAACATATTTTAGCTTACCTTTAGCTTAGCACAGCGCAGCACAGCGTAGCATTAGCACAGCATAACCTAGCATAGCCAGGCATAGTATAGCATAGCATAGCACAGCATATCATAGCTCAGCATGGCATAGCATAGCATAGCATAGCATAGCGCTGCATAGCACAGCATGGCATAGCATGGCATAGCATTGCTTAGCATTGCTTAGCATAGCACAGCGCAGCATAGCACAGCACAGCACAGCACAGCACAGCATAGCATAGCATAGCGCAGCATAGCATACCATAGCGCAGCATAGCATCACATAGCATAGCATAGCGCAGCATAGCATAGCGCAGCAGAGCATATCATAGCCTAGCCTAGCCTAGCCTAGCATAGCATAGCATAGCGCAGCATAGCATAGCATAGCATTGCATAGCGCAGCTTAGCATAGTATAGCATAACATAGCGCAGCATAGCATGGCATGGCATAGCCTAGCATAACACAGCGCAGCCGAGCGTACCCTAGCATAGCATAGCATAGCATAGCGCAACATAGCGCAACATAGCGCAGTATTGCAAAGCATAGCATAGCGCAGCATAGCATAGCTATTACAGACGTAGATGTAGATGTGAGTCTCGCTGTTGATGTTGATGTAGATGTAGATGCAGGTGTAGATGTAAATGTAGCTGTCGGTATAGATGTAGTTGTTGCTTTCCTAAATGCTCCAACTCCTAGGTAGGGTCGCACTGAGATAATTTGCTGTGAGTGTTTTCCGCACCTCTTTTAAGTCGTGCTTCCATATCCTGTCCAGGATGTGTTTCGTTCTCGGATGACTCATTGTCCTATGGTTCCGCTCCGCTTCGATCCATACGACGATCCATACGACGTCTTCCCCACACCCATGATTAGGGCATCTCGCCTAGGCAACTCGCCTGGGTCTCCGACTCCGTCCGAGGCCGCGCGTTACAGTCGAGGTTGATCGGAGAGAGCACGCGAGAGGACACAAGACCCTCGCCGAAGGTCACTGCCATAGAAGTGCAGAAAGCATGGGTCGCGAACCGCAGGACACGAGGGTTACTTCCCTATCTATTTTTACAAGTCCGGGGGGGGGACTCCCCCCATCCCCCCCAAAAATCTGGGATAAACTTTTGGCGCGCCGAGCGGATTTCTTAGATCTTGGATCTATGCTAATCCCCCCTCTCTGGCGCGCGGAGCGCGCCAGGGGCGGTGCCGGAGGCGCCGCCGGGGGGGGGGGCAGCGCGGAACCAAGAGATTCGCGCGGAACGCCGAAAGGCTTATGTTTGTGGCGTTTTTTCTTCTTCGACTCCCGCCCTCCTTTCCCTGCGCCGCCGCCGGTCGTCTCATATTCGTCTGTCGCTCGTCGCTCGTCGCTCGTCGCCATGTCTTCGTCCAGCCCCGTCTGCGCCGGTAAAAAAAAGAGCCTCAGCTGCTGGAGGCCAGGCGCCTTCCCCCCCTCGCCGACAGCGACCTCGTGGCGCGGCGGGGGCGAGCCTGGCCAGGCACCCCCTCTCCGGGACGCGCGGGCTCGGCCGGCTCGCGGCCGAACCGGCTGGGGCCCAGGAGGGAGCACGGGATCCTCTCACGCTCGTCGAAGACGGGCGGCCTGCTCGGGCGGGTAACAGTCGGGGGGGCCTCCATGGGGTGACCTCCGTCCGCTCGCTGCTCGTCTTGCTCCCTGAGACGAAGCCAGGGCGAAAATGAAATCAGGTGAGGGTAAATCGAGAATCTCTGAGATCCAGCGGCTCTGGAGGATATCTCGGGCACCGCGGCCTTCTCAGAGCGTTCCGAAACGCTCTGAGAGCGTTCTGGAACGCTCTGGAACGAATTTGTCCTCGTCCTAGCACCGTCCGACGAAGGACCCAGACGGGGCCGTTTAGGGACCCTTTTTGGCCCCTGCTGGCTCCTAAAGGGGCCCAAAGGCCTAAGGGGCCTCTGTAGGGCCCTTTTCTCCACCCCCCATGTAGGTCACCCCTCATTACCACACGCCCGACCTGCGGGAGATGTTCTGGCCAGGACTCGGCAGATCCTGGACGCAGGTGGCCTCGATGTCGCTCGCCTGGTTGCCCACTGCCCCGCCGCTGGCCAGCTCCACTCCCGGCAACAACTCGGGCGGCGCGAAGGCTCCGGCCAAGAGCCAGCGTGACGTGCGGCTGCCCATGCGAGGCTCGCGGATGCGCATGTCGAGCCTCCTTTGGGCGTCCATAATGGGGGGCGATGATGGGGGGGGACAAAGGTGTAATTACTCTGAGGGCCTTGAAATCCTCCCCTCTGGGGCCCGAAAGGGCCTCTTCGGGCCCTACAGAAACCCTCGAAAGCCCCTTTTCTGCAGCCCTCGCTGCCCCCCGTTTTTACCGCCCCCCCATGGCGCGGCGGCCAACTCCTCGTGTTGGGAAGGTCTTCGAGAGCCACAGGTGCCGAACCCTGGGGAGCTCGGAGCGAATGGGGTCTGCGGATCCTGTTGGGGCCGAGGCCGCCGGGGCCTGGCACGGCCCCGCCGTGGCCCACTCCGCAGGGGCGCCCGCGGGCCACCCTGGGAGTCGAGGGCTGCCTCGGTGCGGGCGCCACGCTGGATGCCTCCGCCCACGCCAACACTGGCCTTGGTCGCTGCTCGCTGACGGGATGGAGACTGTCGCCCGCAAAACTCGGCATCCCTGCGGTGCCTGGAGTGGGGGTGCTGCAGTATTGTGCAGGGCTCCAGATCTGGACGGTAAAACAAATCTTCGCCCAAATGCTGAGCCAAAAACGGCTTGAGCCAACTTTGTGATACGGATTGCAACCTTTTGAGCGGTGTTGGGAGGCCGCTGGGGCCTCTGGAGATCTCAGAAGTATCATGGTGGACTATTGGTCCATCTTTGACACCTCGTGGAGTGCGTCGTGGTCCCTCTCGGGCCGTATTGTGTGGGGACTATGGGGGCTATGGGGAGACGTTAGGGGGGACAGGCTCACGGGGGGGAAACGTCCATCTGGAATTGGCGATACATCGCCGACAGATCAGCGACCAGCCCCTGATGGCGATACTGGACGGTCCTGGCCGGGGCCAGCTCTCGGGCTCCTATCGGCGATCCATGGGCGATTGGGGGTCGATGCATCACCCCCTGAGCCTGTCCCCCCGACCGTTGCCCCTGAGGGAGGACCGAGGGGCGTCATCCTAGGCACCCCGTGCCATCACGAATGAAGGCTCCCCCGGGCAAGAGGCAGCTCCAAGGCGGGCCCCCAAGGATGCCCCCTTGGGAGGCTCTCTGTTGGGCCCTTTTGAACCTCGCACGACTGGCACAAGCACGAGGCCTTCCTTGTTTTTCTTGGCGCCCTCTTTGGCTGTTTCGGGATGTCGCTGGGGCCTCTCTTGGGCAGCCTTCGAGCACCCAGAAAACCAAATGAGATCGTGTTGAGCCGAATGTCCGAAGAAACTAAAGTTAGGTCGGGCATGTCCTCCTACAGGCGTATTTCACAGAAAGAGCAAACTATTCAAAAATAGTGAACAACAGTAGAAAATCATCCCCTCACTGTTTCCCAACCATCCTGTGATGCTGGGTCCTCGTTTCGAAGAGTCAGCGCCACGCGTTCCTCCTCTCCTCTCCTATCCTTTCCTCTCCTCTCCTTTCCTCTCCTCTCCTCTCCTCTCCTCTCCTCTCCTCCTCCTCCCCCCCTCCCTCCTCCCACCGTCATCATAATTATCAGAATCACCATGATCAGCATCGGCATCATCATGATAAGCATCAGCATCCGCATCAACATCATCATCATCAGCATCAACATCAACATCACCATCAGCGTCGGCACCATCATCATCATTATCCTCACCATCATCACCATCCGCATCATCATCATCATCATCATCATCATCATCATCATCATCATCATCATCATCATCATCATCATCATCATCAGCATCATCATCATCCTAATCACCATCATCGGTAACACCATCAGCATCGGCATTATCACCAGCACCAGCATCATTATCATAATCATCCGCATCAGCATCAGCATCAGCATCGGCACCATCATCACCACCATCATCGACAGAGAGAGAGAGAGAGAGAGAGAGAGACAGAACGCGTTTCACGGGCGCTTGCATTGGGAAAATGCGGCGGCGCGTCTCGAACCGAGGGGGTGCCCACCCCAAAACACTCGGCGCCGACGGGATCAAAACCACGGGGACTCCCCTCCCCACCAAACCCCCCCCCTCCCGAACCCCTTTCCCCCCCATCCCAAGAGCCCCCCCTCCTCCCCCGGCGCCGGCGCCGGCGCTGGCGGCCGCCAGCAGCGCCGACGGCGGGGACGCAGCGACGATGACCAGAGGCAGCCCAAGGGGGGGGGAGGGGTTCAGAGCCCCCCCCCCGGGCGCCGCGGGGGAGGGGTTCAAACCCCTCCCCCCCCCTGGCGCCGGCGCCGGCGCTGGCGGCGGCCAGCAGCGCCGGCGCTGGCGCCGGCGACGGCGGGGACGCAGCGACGATTACCACCACTACCACCACCACCACCATTACCACCACCACCACCGCCTCAACCCACCACCACCACAGCCACCAACCCACCACACAACCACCACCACCACCACAGCCACCACCACCACCACAACCGCCACCACAACTCACCATCACCACCACCACCACAAAAAAAAACACTACAACCACCACCACCACCACAAACTACCACACCACCACCACCACCGCCACAACCACCACCACTACCAGCAGCACAACCCACCGGCACCACCACAAACCACCACACCACCACCACCACCGCCACCACCGCCACCACCACCACACCACCACCATCCCAACAAACCACCGCCAGCACCACAACCCACCACCACCACCACCACCGCCACAAACCACCACCACACCACCACAACACCAACACAACCGCCACCACCACAAATCACAAGCACCACCACTACCACCACCACAAAAACCCACCACCACTACCACCACCACCACAAAAACCCACCACCACTACCACCGCCACAACCACCACCACTACCAGCAGCACCCACCACCACAAACCACCACACCACCACCACCACCACTGCCACCACCACAAATCACCGCCACCACCACAACCCACCACCACCGCCACAAACCACCACCACACCACCACCAATCACCCCCCACCACCACAACCCACCACAACCCACCACCACCACCCCCACCACCACCACCAACAACAACAACAACAATCATTTTACCCGAACGCGTGGTGTTCTCCCCAGTGCCAGGGTTTTCATACGACACCAGGCAATACCCCCACTTCGTGGGGGGGCATTACAAGCTCTACCAAATATCCAAACGACTCTTCGCGACCACCCAAACCCAGCTTCCCGCCCTATGACGTTGGGACACTTCACTTCGTGGCGTGCGGACGACCGTGGCTACTACACTGGCGTGGGGTACACACCCACAGAACTTGGTCACTTATTCGGGGCGCGCATGTGCCCAGCATGGTGCAATTGTGCCATACAATACATAATACAGAGAGACGAATGTGTCCCGCATGGTATTATTTGACAGGGATGATGGCCCTGGCAGGTGCGCAACCGTTGTCGCAGAAGTTCGAAAAAGTTGCTCGCAAAAGCCCGTTTGACAGAAATGTTTAAAAAGTGTTGGGTTTCCTACGAATCCGCAAGAGCGCGCGGGATGAGATTTTGACATTTTTTTGTTGAAAAACCATTGGTTTTTTGATGTTTTTATGTTAAAATCGCTCCGAACACTAAGCTTTTGGAAGGATTTCGTCTTGCGCGCGCGAATGTCCACTTTACCTTATTTTTTGCAAGGGATTCTTGAAATTTGATTATATTAGAACAAGAAATGTCATTTTATAGTGTTTTTTGCAAGGGAAAACGGATTACAACAAAACAACCGGATCTTGATCACCTCGAATTACCTGAGGCTTCCTCACGAAAATGATGAAAACGTGGCTGCGGCCTAGGCGCGGCGGGGGGGGCGCGCACCAGGGGGCCCAACAATAATTATTCTTTAGAATTAATAATGTTCAACAACAACAACAACAACAACAACAACAACAACAACAATCATTTAAGACTGGGGACACTCCGTTCTCACCAGTGCCAGGGTTTTCATAGGAGGCGGACAATACCCCCACTTTGTGGGGGGGCCGGCCGGTTCAAGCTCTACCAAGTTTCCAAACGACTCTTCGCCACCACCCACGCCCAGCTTCCCGCCCTATGACGTTCGGACACTTCACTTCGTGGCCTGCGGACGACCTTGGCGACTACACTGACGCATCGGTACAATGACTTGTTGTTGTAACATTTTGTGGAAGCTAGTTTAGTATACGACGTATCCCCCTGTTCCAACACTGGACACCTGTACCGTTTTCCGACGTTTGGAGGTCCTGATGGTTGTGGTTGTCCCGACGGTTGTCGCGATGATTGTCCCGATGATTGTCCCGATTGTTGTTCCGATGGTTCTCCCGATGGTTGCCCCGATGGTTGTCCCGACCGTTGTCCCGACGGTTGTCCCGACGGTTGTCCCGATGGTTGTCCTGATGGTTGTGGTTGTCCCGATCGTTGTCCCGATGGTTGGCCCCATGGTTGTCCCGATGGTTGTTCCGATGGTGGTCCCGATGGTTGTCCCATGTCAGCGATGCCGGATCCTCGCGCCCCCCGCCGGAGGAGGAGGAGGAGGAGGAGGAGTCTTTGTGCTCATCGTCTTCTGGCATACGCCTGTCCCTAATGGCACGCATCGGGCGCAATACTGCAAGCTGCGCTCCTGGCACCCATACATCAGGGGCCAAGTGTCCCAGCATGGCGCCGATGCGCCTCCTCGCGGATACATCGCCCGCGCGTCCGTGGGCCGCCAATACCGCCAGGACACCCTGGACATGCGCCGGCATACCCAGATCCACACGGTAATCCATGACATTCCCATACTCGGACTGCCCGAAAGAACGCCATGCTGGCATGTGCCACCAATGGTCCTGCTTCGTGAACAAGGTGATACCATCCTTGACGTCGTGGGAGGCATTCCACAGAGCCATGGATGGCGGCTCCATACCCATGGATCCCGTGTGTGTTGCCACAAATACATCCAGGCTCGCAATGCGCCTGTATGACAGACCTGATACCACCTCGGAATGCACGTGAATACGCAGGAGCTGCAACAGCCTGCGCAAGCCAGCATGCACCCAGCCGCCGTGCCGGACGAATACGTGCGATCTCCAGTTCGCTATACCAGCTTGGGTGCACAGCCGATGGAATACTTCCGAAAGTGCGCCCACATACTGCGCGGCTGGATCTTTGAAACCAGAAAAGTTGCCGAATACCAAGCCAGGGTAGAAATATACAGCGAACGCCATCCACTCTGGGGTCTCGATGCCTCCCATACGGCGCTGGTTCTCGACCATGCCGTTCTCCTTGGACTGGCGCGTAGGCATACACCCGTGAGTCCCTGCCACATACACGGAAAATACACTGCAGTCGCGAACCACGTGGTCTCGCGCAGCACCTTTCAGGAGACACAAAAGTACCACTACCACCAGCTAAGGGGGCGGCCGCGCCTTCCCCTCGAGCTGGTGGCACCTCCTTCCGGGCACTCTCTGGAGGCATACCCGGAAGGAGCCACCAGCTCGAAGATGGAGCGGCCACCCCCCTAGCTGATGGTAGTGGTACTTTTGTCTCTCCTGAGCCTTGAGCCAGTGGAATACCAACCCGTCCCCGCCGGGTGACATAGACCAGCGCCTCATACCCTCGGCCACCTCCTCGTTGGATGGGGTATACTCCCCAGTCTGTTCGCCCCACTGCCCTGCCATTGCCAACAATACGGACGCGCGTGTGCATATGGAAAGAGATACGAAAAGCGAAATACGACTGGAGCCCCAATGGCTAAGGCAAACGAATGATGCTGTGGGAAAGTGGCAAAGTCCATACGAACGGAAACGAAACACATACATGTGTCAAACTGATCAGACAACTCAATCTCACAAGCAGGTGAGGTTGAAGGCGGCTCCTGTTTCAAAAAGGGAGTTCCCGATGAGGCACTCTGGAGGGACCCAAGGGGAGGCGCCGTGAGAGGCGGGGCCCGAGGCCTCTGGGGGCCGGGGGGGGCCAGAGAGGAGGATGATGAGGTCGAGGGCGGCTCCTGTTTCAAAACGGGGTTCTCGCTTGAGTTCCCGATGGGGCGCTCTGGAAGGACCCACGAGGAGGCGCCGTGAGAGGCGGGGCCCGAGGCCTCTGGGGGCCGGGGGGGGGCCAGAGAGGCGAGGATAAGGTTGAGGGCGGCTCCTGTTTCAAAACAGGGTTCTCGCTTGAGTTCCCGATGGGGCGCTCTGGAGGGACCCAAGGGGAGGCGCCGTGAGAGGCGGGGCCCGAGGCCTCTAGGGGCTGGGGGGGGCCAGAGAGGGCACAGAGGATGAGGTTGAGGGCGGCTCCTGTTTCAAAACGGTGTTCTCGCTTGAGTTCCCGATGGGGCGCACTGGAGGGACCCAAGGGGGGGGCGCCGTGAGAGGCGGGGCCCGAGGCCTCTAGGGGCTGGGGGGGACCAGAGAGGGAGGATGAGGTTGAGGGCGCCTCCTGTTTCAAAACGGCTTTCTCACACTGATAAGACAACTCAAACTCACAAGCAGATTAGTCAACATATTGGCACATGATACTGCACATGATACAAATGATAGACATGATACAAAGACACACAACAGTTGGCCACAGTTTTGGTGCACATTTCAGACACATGCATTTGTTATATATGATACAAATTGCACATGGTACACATGATAGACATGAGACAAAGATACACAACGGTTGGTCACATTGTTGGGGCAAAGTTCAGACACATGCATTTGTTATAAATGATACATGTTGCACATGATATGCTAGACATGAGACAAAGACACTCCACAGTTGATCAAATTTTTGGGGCAAATTTCGGACACCTGCCTTTGTTATATATTATACATCTTGCACATGATACATATGATAGACATGAGGCAAAGACGCACAACAGTTGGTCACAGTTTTGGAGCAAACGTCGGACACATGCCTTCGTTATATATGATACATATTGCACATGTACATATGATAGACCTGAGACAAATACACACAACAGTTGGTCACATTTTTGGGGCAAATTTCGGACTGATGGATTTATTATGTATGATACATATTGCACATGATATGATAGACATAAGACAAAGACACACAACAGGTGATCACATGTTTGGGGCAAATTTCGCACACATGCACTTGTTATATATGATACATAGTGCACATGATATGATAGACATGACACAAAGACACAGAACAGTCGGTCACATTTGTGGGATTTCAAACACATGCTTTTGTTATGCTAATTCATATTGCACATGATACATATGATAGACCAGAGAGACACACAACAGTTGATCACATTTGTGATGCAAATGTCGGAATGCATTTGGTATATATGATACATATTGCACATGAAACATATGATAGACATGAGACAAAGACACACAACTGTTGGTCACATTTTTGGGGCAAATGTCAAACACATGCATACGACGATATGTAACTCTCAGTGCATGTCTCGACGTACGCATGTGTATGTGAATGTGACTGTGTAGGTAAGGTCTATGTGTCAAGAATGGCTATGCGCGTCGAACTAGTATGTTTACATGTGTGTATGTATGTATATGTGTATGTCATTGCTGCTGTATGCTCTTCTTTCATACTTTTCTGGTCGACCACTGTGTCAGACAACATGCAACTATACAAATGAACACCGCCCTCGGGGTTCAGCCAGCAACGCCTCCAACTTGACGTTGGATAAATCGTATGGTGATCCACCTTCCCTGCATTTTCATTCTTTCATACTCGGAGCCGCCGCGAGCGCGCACTGCGGATACCAGCTCCTCGTCACTCCTCTTCCGCGCCCCCGCGCCTGCAGGCTTCTGCATACCGCGCTGCACCAGCACCGCGAGCTTCTTCTTAGTGTACGACTTCGCGTACTTGATACCCAGACCCTTCGCGGCCTTGACCAAGCCGCGATACTGCTGTGTGTGTGCTGGACCTTCTGAGTCACAACGCTCAGACAACTCGCGAGCACACGGAACTCTGGAATGCCATCCAATTCAACCTTGGGACACAAACGGCGGCGACCCAACTGAAACGCCACCTCCAAAGGTCCGCCAGCGCGTTTGGAGGGTAACTTCCGCAGCACAGCGAGTGATACACCCACACAGCTGCGGATCTCCTCCAAAACCTGAATTGTGTGAGAACGCGTGGATACACTGTATGCTAGCCCATGTCGGACACGCGAAACATTTGCCCGCACAGACTTCCTCTTGTCATGCTGCTCAATGAGATACCAAAGACCATGCAGCGAATACCGATTGATAGCCTGCCGCGTCTCGCAGAACAATACATACATGGTCGCGGCACTCACTTGAGACGTGGTGTTTAGAGCCTTCCTCATACGACCCAATGCTGTGGTCATACTGTCGCAGGACACCACGCCAAAATACGCGAGCTCCGCCGCAGCATCGCGTCCAGACTTCCGATACTGCCGCTTCAGAAACCACTGATGCAGCTCCTCGGTATACTCCGTGGGCGCGCAGCCCATGCAAAACTCAAGCATGTGCATAAAACACCGCATACAGTCCATGCTGTTATACTTACCTGCCATCTTCACCTGGTTCTTCTGAACAGCCACGGCCACATAGTCCGGGATACTGTCCCCGATGGCCATGATGTCAGCGCTCGCGACCGAGACGCCCACCACACGGGGACGCTGAAGCCCCGATACTACGTGCGCCCACTTCTCCGCAAATGCAACAAGGCGCCGTCGTATACGAGCCCTGCGAAGAGTGCGAATGAAGTTCAAACCAGAATACGCCATGTGCAAACCTTCCCGATGGGCCAAATACGAGCATCCCCTCTCTTTGCATACTGCCTCGCAGTGCCGCACGAGTCCACAACAAAATGAATCGAAGTTCTCGACGAATACACTCCACTGATCCAAAAGGTAGTCACATACGACAGGTACTCCTGCCTGACCTCTGGTGAAACGCAGTAATACAAAGGAGAGCAAGAAAAAATACCCTGCGGAGTCCATGCCAAGGCAATACGCGGCCAAGAATAACCCCCTCTTGAGCCAAAGTGCCTATGAACAACACACAGAGACATCGTTGTTGTTGTTGTGTCGTGATGGTGATGATTGGTGGTGATGGTGATGATGGTGATGATGATGGTGATGGTGGTGTTGGTGATGGTGGAGGTTTCCTGATGGTGGTGATGGTGATGGTGATGGTGATGATGGTGATGGTGATGGTGATGAGAGGGGAAGGAGGGAGAAGGAGGATGAGGAGAAGGCTGAGGAAGGGAGGTGGAGGAGGAGGAGGTATCAGAAGAGCCAGAGGCCTCTTGAATGCCTCTCGGAGTCTACTCGGATGAATCTTGGGCAAGTAGAAGCCTCTTGGGTCGTCTTGGGGGCCTCCTCGCGTGACCCGGGGGCCTCGTGGGGCATCCTGGGTGCCCCGGGGAGCCCCTTGGAGCTTCTTGGGGATCTCTTGGCCGCCTCTTGGGCGCCTGTTGGGCGCCTCTTGGGACCTCCTGGGGGCCTCTTCAGGCCCTCTTGGGGCGCTCTTGGGAGCCTTGGGGGCGCTCTTGGGGCCCTCTTGGAGGACATGTTTTTTTTCTATGAAGGCAGACACTTGGACTCCAACTTAGAAGCGGACCGGAGACGATGATACACACATGCGCGTGTGTACGTTTTTTTTCAACGTCCGGCACCATACGTCATAGATCATTCCGGCGTTGCCGTGCCGCCGTATACGAGCAGCTCACCGTTCTCGCCCCACACTTCCCCCCTCACTGGAAGCTCTTCATACACTGGCGCATCGGCAGCCTCCGCACTGGCACCTGCAGCAAACTCTGCCAGGATACGTTGGCACTCGGTCTTGGATACATCTGCCGTATCCTCTGTGCTCACGAGGAAGTCCAAGAGATTGTTGCCCATATCCATGGACAGAACAGGGTCCGCGTCATACTCCCCTTGATCTGCACAGGCATACTCCAAGCCTTTCCCCTCGTCGTCAGATGACGATACCGAGTCATAGCCACGCTCCAGAATCTCGCCGGCCTTCTCAGGGCCAGCCGGGAGGAAGTCACTGCGGCGGAGCTTGCCGAATACATAGCAGCCCTCGCGGGACTTAAAGCGACTGCAGGCAACGTAGCCATACCCTCTCGTGGCCACTCTCTTCTTCTGCTCGAAGTAAATACAGCCGTGAAAGAGATCCGCACCCTGCGCTCGACGCACCGTGGTCGCATACCCGTAGCAGCAGGGCAGGAAGATCTCCCCATTCTCCTCGATGGGGTGCACCAATACCATGTTGCCCGTGCCCACCAGCCTGGCTGTAAACACAGAGTTTCCACGAAGCGACTCGCATACCGTGGCCAACGCCCCATTGACAAAGCCTCGCTGTTTGTCAAAGTTCCGACTGAGGCGAATCACGATACCAGGTCTGGCCAAAATGCGTAAGTTGGACTTCGTGGTGGGATCGGAATACCCACCCTTTTGCAGATCGGCCTCACTAATGCCGAGTAATGCCAGAGCCGCTCTGCATACCTCTGCCGAGCCTGCGTTCGTACACGTCAGCCAAGAAAACGGATGTCCTTTCTCCGCCGCCAACGCCATACCGCGCTCAACACAAGCCTCCAAGGACTCATGCTGCCAGTGCCGGTCGCCAAAATACTCTGTCAAACACACTCGATCTGGCTGAGCCTCGCGTATACGGTTCAGGAAAACCAGGTGCTGCTGGTCTGCGGTGCGATACACTGTCTTCAAGTCAACCTTGTCCATTTGGTTGCAGAAGTGCTCGCATTGCCCCCCGCTCAATACTGGCTGCAACTGCTTAAAATCGGCCACGATACCAGTGAAGGGTTTATGCGGCTGCTCCCGCACCGCGGCGAAAAAACGCATCCATTCCTGATCTTCATACTGGCTGCCTTCATCGCAAAGAATCAAGTCAATACCTCTCAAAGCCGAGGGTGGGGCCCAGCGGACCTTCCCGTCCTTCCCGGCCCTCTTATACTTCAGGACTCCTTGTATGGTATCCACTCGGATGTTCTCAATACCAGGTCTGTCTGGCAGCTTGGACTTGTACTGGTGCACGAGATACCCGGTGGGACACACGATCAAAACCTGAACAGACTCACATGCCCAAATGGCCAGCTCCAGCAATACTGCCGTCTTCCCACTGCCTGGTGGTCCACTGATATACAAGAAACGCTTACTGTTCTGCTTCTCCTCCTCGTCCTCCAGCGATACACCCTTCTTGACCCGTTCGATGGCGTCAGCCTGCTCGGGACTCCAGGTGCGCTGCTGATACTTCGGCCTATTCAAGACATCCCACGCCTGCCGGAGGCACTCGTACTCTGGCTCGTTATCGCATTGAGCAACACGCATATACAGCAGAAAATTCGCGTGTTGCTTCTGCTCGAAGCAGCCGACACGCTCATCGCGCATACCTCGAAATTGCAGATCGCGTCGGGCCAGCGAGAGCAGGTACTCGAATGCTGCCCTATCATTGGCAAATACAGACACTCCAGCAGTATACTCCGAGCCGAATGACAGTATCTGGCCGTCCTCACCCACTCGCATCGGCAGCGCATGATTATGGAATTTCAATTCACACGACGTCTCCACGATACCAGCAGTGTCGGACCACTGCCAGGACATGAGATACTCGATCATGCCCACGAAGTTCTTCATACTGTCCAGGTGTTTGAGCGTCCGAGGGAGTAATTGTGCAGCGTATACATGTGGCAGCACAGTCAGTGAATGCTGGCCCCAATAACCGTCGGTCAGCTCGTACCAGTACCTGCAGGCGACCACTTGCGTGGACGCATACCTTTGCTGATGTCTGCCGCCACGGAACTGTACGCAGTGGTTCGAGGTGTCATACTCCCTGCCACGGTGCCATGCCAAGAAACTCTCCGATACGGGAGTCCCTGCGACCAGCTGCTCCCTCTTCTCCTGAAGATAAAAACCATACATCCTCGAGGAAAAGTTTCCTTGCCGCCCGTCATAATTCAGCATGGCTGCAGGCTGCGGTGGATACAGCAAAACATGGGAGTAGGACCGCTCAAATTCCGACAGTTGCGCCATACGGATCGCCACTTCCGGCAAGCACGGGCTGCTCTTGCTGAGCAAGCGATACGCGGTCAGCCAGGAGCTGTTTGCATTCTTCTGCACATACTCGCCGAGCCCCACGTCGACGGCATCATGGTCCTTCGCCACATACCCGGAGATGTAGTTCAAACGGCCGTTGCCTATCTGAACATCTATCTCGGCGCAGAATACCAGCGAGAGGAACTTGACGAATGCCGACACGACAGCCGCACCAGTGCGCCCTTGGAGATTCTGCAACAGCCCAAAGCATACAACCCACGCGCAGATGTGCCAGTGCGGGGTGCCACGGCCCTGGTACTCGGTCTTCATACACCACTCGTAAACGATGAAGTACCTGGACACTGTTCTTTATGTAAGCACACTGTAGTGACATGATACATATGGTACACGATGCGTCTGATACTCATGAGACAAACTCGCAGAAGAGTTGGTCACATGTTTGGGGCAGCTTGTGGCAAACATCGAGATGTTATATGTGATACATGGGGTGTATGATACATATGACCAACATGAGACAAACTCGCAAAATATTTCCTGAAATACTACCATCTGGGCTCCCTGCAGGAATACAGCAGGAGTCATGTGTCCAAGCAGGTGACCAATAATGTCAAACACATGCATTTGGCATGTATGAATCATATTGCACATGATACATATGATAGACAAACTTGTAAACGATGAACCTGGACACTGTTCTTTATTTGGGCACACTGTGGTGACATGATACATATGGTACATGATGCGTCTGATACACATGAGACAAACTCGCAGAAGAGTTGGTCACATGTTTGGGGCAGTTTGTGGAACACATCCAGTTGTTATATGTGATACATGGGGTACATGATACATATGACATGAGAGAAACTCGCATAAACAATTCCTGGAATTGTGTTATACAAGAAACGAACCTGCGGCCCCAGCGGTTCGCCAAGAACAACCAGATACAGCGAACCAGGAAGTACATATGGAGTGACATCATATAGGCACCGGCAAAAATACAGCGAAGATACGGCTCCATGAAATACGGCCTCGGGAACTTCCACTCCGCGGGCGCGATGGTGATAAACAAATTCGGAAACGCGCACAGCCATACCTGTCCCCGGAGATTGCGGCAGTGCTGATACAGGGCCTCATAATTCTTCTCGTCGTAGCAGCGCACGAGCATGATACGCACCAGATCAGCGAGGGAGTCTTGCACAATCTCCCAATACCCCGTAGAGGCCTGCGAATCTCGTGTCATAACGTCCCCCGTGACGCCGAGGCTCTTGGCACGAACTTGCGCATTGAAATACTTATTCGCCAGATGCTTCTCGTACAGGAAAAACGGCAGATCCCGCTGCTCGCCATATACACGGGCACTGGACAGCACCTTCCGAGTCCAGGACAGGCCGATGGATACCACCCGATTCGTGCTATCCTGGGTCTGGGCATAGTAGTGCTCCATAATACCCGTATCAGTGAAATCCGTAGTCGGATACAAGACGGGATACATGGCACACTCGATACCTTTCACGACAACAAAGAGGTCGTAGGAGGAAAGATTTAAGGAGCTGCGGTTCTCGATGCGGATCCTGTGGGAGTCAAAAAGCTACTGTAATACCTGTCATGCGCCCCCAGAAAATGAATAGCGTTTGTGTTGATGTGGTTTTTGTTGCCGGCGTGTTTTTTTTGGGGGGGATGGGTTGGGGGAGGGCGGGTTCGGGGCGACCGGGGT